AAGGGGGAGGCGGTGTTGATAATCCCAGCATACCAAAGTAGTGATCGACACCCGTACCCAAGCAATGATGCTTGCAGCTTGTCCGCATCAAGGGATCGACCCCAAAAGACTTTTTGATATCGGGGAATTTTCTTTTTTTTCCCTTTCTGATTCATTCAAACTGATGATTACATTTTTTTGAAAAAAAAAAAAAAAAAAAACTAGTCCTGGTATTTTATGGCATGCTCAAAAGAGCGCAAAATGCAAACAATGGCTGCAATAATAACTGCGATGTACATTAAATACACGTCCCTACTGTTCTGGACCAACATAAAAAGGCTAGAATATGGATCAGTCACATATCCTGTAGGCTGGGGTCTATCACTTGGAACCAGTCCAGATCTGGGGGAACAGAGTATCCAATGTAATATTAAGGCAAATCTGCATGTGCACAAATAATACCCCGTTGTGCAGGTGGAACCACAATTATGACAGTACATTGGACACCTCTTTTTCATCTCTCGGAGTCGGAAATAGACGGAACAGACTAGATCGCATTGTATATTCTAGAGTACTCCGCCCAAGATACATAAACACATTCAAACGCGATGTGTGGCCATGCCGACAGGTGGCAGGGGTACGAACCACGTTTGCGGAGACCCGGAAACAGATCTTCAACATCAAAGCATCATACATAATTGTGTTGCTCTCCCTCAGCCACAATCGATCTTGGCTTTGGATAATTTTATTTAAGCCACAGATGTCATGACATCGCAGCCTCGAATATCGTAATTTGGCCTTAAATTGGACCGGATACTTCGCATATATGTACTCCGTACGGGGTATATGAGTACCATATTACGTACCACGTTTACCCATATATTAATCAATCTTGAATGCAAGCCTCGTCCACTGAAACCAATTTAATCTCACAGGGGCCCTGAGTGGCCCTTATGTTGTAGGTGCGGTTATGGTCGAATTCCCTCGGAACCCGGCGGATGTAAATTTCTTTAAAAAAAAGGAGAGAAAAGTGCGATTGAAATTGTGAATTGTACAAAAAAAATCCTCCGTACTAAGAGGGTCCCTGGATCGTATCAGTGCACAGTCATTGGCCTATCATAATTTCTAATCGACCTGGTCTCACCTAGACACGCTATTGCTCTCTGTGCCGAGTTGATTGGGTTAGCGTGGTTGAGATAAACAGAGCTATGCATGTATTTCATCCTCCGTACTCCGTACTCCGTACAATAAAGTGGATATTGTAGCTACTTCTCATGTGCTCCGTGCGTTGTAGCTATGTATTCGGTTACGAATATGAAGCATCTTCAAATCACGCGGCGAACGCCGCAGACTCTGCACACCTTCGTATGAGATAGAGCCACTCACAACAGCTGACGCTGAAGCGAGACAGCCCCCTAGTGGACATACTAGAGTGAAAATCTGAGACAGGTTTTGTAGGGTGTTTGGCCTGTCTCTCTACCTTGTTTCTTAATGCGCTACCCGGTGCCTTTCCATCTTCTAGTGCATTGGGCTAAGCCACTTTTTATGTTTTGACTTCGATTTTCGCCTCGAACAGCGTAATGCATTAGGTAATTGTATTTTATATTTTAGGCCTTCTTTTTATTTTATGTGCTCTATTTATGCTTGATAACTTTCTTTCGACCTAGGTAGTTTTCGGGTGTGTGGCCATATATATATATTAGGATATATATATGGCATTGTGGTTCAAAGTGGGAAAATCTAATCGTTGACAATCCTATGAAATCATCTATCTATATTCATATTTTGCTACATATGTACTCGCCCTCTCGCTCCCTGCGGGTAAACCAATTTCCTTGCCGTGTGTTCAGCTTGATAGTTTCACGGGTTTCCTGCAGCATGCAGGAGAATCTGTTATTCTGTAAATTTATGACCAGCTGGTACTGACACTGAGCTTGTTGCAAATAAAACAGCGTTATATACCCTGGGTGGTTGTATTTAATTTAAATCAGCAGACACTCTAAGCATTCATTGAAGCAAACATATCTTGCCCAGGTTGACATGGTGCTTCGAATCTGTCAAAACCACATCACTGCTACAAGGATCCATCAGGTAAAGGATGACCAAAATTGCTACGAAGGATATGCAAGTCAGACTGGAACTGTGACCAGGGCCCTACATCCACCCAGCTCGTAGATACATTGCATGGCGGAGGTTTATTCTCGGGCTCCTAGTGTTACAGGTGGACCGGCTCCGACAGATATGGACAAACCGCGAAGAGAACAGATGATCGGAGATTGAATTCTGGTGTCTATATCCACTCTGGCTGGATCGGATTGGGAGGGTCTTTGGGTCGTCTGGTTGAAACCATGACCGCAGGGCGGTGCATATCTCTATCTGATTGTCTTCGGCTTTGACTTGTCTCGCAGACGTCGATAACTATGACATCGCAACTCCACATTGAGATCCCAAGATTTCCGTCAGAATACGGTCATGATACGTTTGAACAGTTGTGCAGGGCTAACCCATTCTTGCTTCCATTGCTGTTTTCGAATACATGGAAGGGTTATGCCTCACTTCAATACCACGGGAGGGTAGAGGCAGCGCCCAACGGCGGAGAAAAACATATCAAAACCCGAGCTAGTGCGCCATAACAATTGAAAAGAGGAAAAGAAATTTCAAATCAACAAAGTTTTCGCCTGGACATGCCTAAGCCATGTAGGTGGTGGAGTCAACACCAGCCTCGGGGTACTCACTGCGTACATGGTTAGTATATTGGCAAAGGGTATTGTAAATTGGAAAGTTAAGAAAACTTACGGAAGGGCAACCTCAAAGCGCTTCTCAATCTCCTTGAGGACCTTCTCGTCATCCTCGTTGCTGACGAAGGAGATAGAAAGACCCTTGGTACCGAAACGACCGGCACGACCAACACGGTGCAGGTAGGAGTCGGCGTCGGCGGGGAGATCGTAATTGATGGCAAGGTTGATGCGCTCGATATCAATACCACGGCCAAAGACATCAGTGGCAACACAGATACGCTTGTTGAACTCCTTGAACTCCTTGTAGCGCTTGATACTAGGTGGAGGTCAGTAAATTGCTCCTGCCAATGCCGAACTCGGATGGACTTACCGCTCCTCCTGGCTGACACCAGAGTGAACTGCGATACTGGGGAAGTTGCACTCGCGCAACAGCTTGTCCAGCTCGTTGGCACGTTGGGTGCTCTTGACGAAGATGATAACCTGGTTGAACTCGAGGTTGTCCAAAAGCTCATTCAGCTTGCGGTTCTTCTCCTTCTCGTCGAGCTTGATGTAGTACTGTTGCAAGCCGTGGAGGGTGAGCTTGGTATCATCATCGACATAGACCTCCAGCGGGTTGCGCATGAACTTCTTGCAGATGGGACGAATCTCCTGAGAGAGGGTGGCACTGAACATCATAACCTGCTTGTCGGCGGGAGTTGCACGGAAGATTTCCTGGACATCACGGCGCATATCTGAGGATGTTAGTGGGAGGTGATAATCGAGTCGTATCTCGCATGCACGTACCAATTTGGTCAAGCATCTTGTCACACTCGTCGAGAACAAAGGCCTTCACGTTACGCAAGGACAATTTCTTGTCACGGACCAGTGCGTTCAGACGACCGGGAGTGGCAACAACAATGTTGGGGTGAGTCTCCTTGTTGGACAGGATTTCGACGTCCTTCTGGATCGGGGTACCACCGTAGAAGACCGCAGTCTTAACGTCGGGCAAGTACTTCGAGAAACGGGCGTACTCGTTCTTGATCTGATAAGCAAGCTCACGGGTGTGGCACATAACCAGGATCTGACACTCGCCAGGAACGGGCTCCAGTTGATGAAGGGTGGTGAGAACGAAGACCGCGGTCTTACCGAGACCGGACTTGGCCTGGCAAAGAACATCGACGTTCAGAATGGAAGTCGGGATGCAAACTTGCTGGACTGTTGGAAGGCGGAGCCGATGTTAGATTGGGTTCGACGAAAGAAGAAGCAAAAAAAATCCGTCTCGCAATGTCCGTCCATCCCCCAACAACATCAAATTGATGCGTGGGCGGTCATCTTCCACCGCTTGATCAAACCACCATGACTGCATGTCACATTCAAAGCCATGCTTTTTGTGGGTATCCTATCATATTCTGCAGACAACATGAGGTGCGCCTCACAAGGAGACAAACATGATAAAATATCAGTCTTCCACCGCGTGTGCCAATCTCCACGGAGTACGTGGGAGTTGGGAACGGAGGCTCAGGCTTAGCGCAACAGCGCCACAGGACCAAACGCGTATATATTATATAGGGATATTGTCCTTTTCAGGAGCAATAATCCTCATGTCGTCTGCAGATTCGAAACACGACTGATTGCCAAATACCGACAGAAGAATCTTCCCGCGAGGATGGACGGACGTTGGAGATTGGACAAATGGAGGAACGCTTGTGGGAATAATGAGTTAGACTAACCCTCCGATGGATGTTCGAAGCCGCAGTCGGTGATGGCGCGCAGAAGTTCACCCTTCAGCAGGAAGTCGCGGAAACCGGTAGAGTGGATACCGACGTAGCTGCCCTTCTTGTCGGGACGGCCGCCAGTTACAGTCAAGTCACCCTGCTTGTCGGCATCGCCATTGGTGGCTGCAGGCGCAGCAGTGGTGGCTGGTGCTGTGGTGGTCTGAAGCTCCTCATCAGAGTAGTCGATAAGATCTTCCTCGTGAGACATGACGACGTAAATAGGCGAGTTTTGAGGGGAACAGGTAAAATTATTGGGATAGAGAGATGATGTGGGGTTGAAGTGAAAAGAAGACAAAGGTAGTGATGAGAAGAGTATGGACCGCGGGAATGTGGCAGGTCTCGATAGACAAAGGTGGTAGGGGAAGAAGTCACAAGGCGGTAGGATGAAGACCTCACCAAGGGAGAATCACGTGGTTATTCAGCCTCACCGCTTTGGGTCTAGCGTCAATTCGGAAGCTTTTCTTGAATTGCAGGTTGCAGCAAACAACTTTGAGATCCACTTGCTTGTTGATCTGTCAAATTTTCGAGAATGGCAAAAGCCAAAGGAAAAAAGGAAGCCAAGAATTCCAAGAATTCCAAGAACTCGCAGAGCCATATTCGAGCACGGCTGGATTACCTACATCAAGCTGCCGCATATTTCCAGGGCAAATCTACACTCGCCGAGGGTCAGAATGTCAAAGTCCACAGCAATGAACCCACCTCAGTTGCTGGTCATCTTGACCCAGAGGATGGCCACACAGGATATACTCAACAAGTCTGCTCTGGGAATCAGAAGAAGACCCAAGAGCCATTGAGAAACCTCTCAAGGGTATGTGTATCACATCTACGCGCCGTTGCAATGAAGACGCAAATTCGGCTGCCGGTCACACTGAAGAGATCAGTTTGTAAGCGCTGTGACACGATCTTGATTCCGGGAGTGACTTGCTCGCATGAAACTGAAAACGCAAGTCGCGGCGGCAAGAAGCCATGGGCCAATGTACTGGTCGTCCGGTGCCTCTCATGCGGGACTGAAAAGCGATTCCCTCAGACAGAGAAACGTGGGAAAAAGCTCGTTGAGCGCCGCAAGGAGAAAGACTCGGCCCCGGTACTCGATGTGAATGTACCAGAAGTGGATACCTCAGCGGCGTCGCAAGGAGAAACAGTCGAATTATGTGAAGAGAATGTGCCAATGTTGGATGCTGCAGATGTCCCAGTGACGTGAATCGCACCCGCCAAATTCATCTATTACGTGTGGGGTCACTTCCATATGTTGAACCTTATACCCTGCGCATTCCCCCAATGTCCCGCAGAACACGAAACTAGTGCGGCTGCACGCTTCAACAGGCCGATGCATCTCGCATTTACCATATCCACGACATGGTCAAGGCGCCCTAATGGAGAGCCGGTGGACCGCGTTTTTGGTGGGCTTTTACAATGAGATGTCAGCTACAATGACCAGGGCTGTCCATAAAATCAGGGCAATTATGTCCAAAATCATCACCGGAAGAAGTCTCAAACCCCGTGAGTAGCCTCAATATATCCTCGGCGACCACACCCACACGGCCGGCATGCTTGATATTCAAATCCAGCCTCCGACATTTCAACGTTGGAGGATCCAATGCTATGCGGCGCACGATTCAATGGTTTTGAAGAAACTGTTCCCAATCATATTGCAGAACACCATAAGCCAAGCTATAACCATCCCAACGATGGACATGGGCCAACATCAACGCAGAAAAAGAGGAAAACCCAGAGCAATGTACACGCAACATGCAGAGAGGGGAATCAAAATAACAGGGGAAATAGCAGAAGCATCAAATCAAACAAGAAGATACAAAGATGGGTCGTGTTTATGCACTTGATATCACATTAAAAAATCCTTCATGATAATCATCAAATCTCATGGATTTCCAGGACCGGGTGGGAACCGAGTTGCCATTGCCGTCGTGGGTGGAGCTCAAGCAGTCGTGGAAATACTTTTATCCTTTCGAGGTCGCATGCTCAACACCGGTGTCTCGCCTCAATGGCACCGCGAGGCATGTAGTTCTTAGAGCTCATTGTGTCATAAAGCAGATACCCAGACCAATGAAATGTGACATACATGAATACGGTGGCTGATGCGCATTCAAAGAAAAGGGTCCGTGAGGACACATTTGATATATAGTATTTTGGTTTCTTTTCGTTCTGTCGGCTTTGGTATGTTCTGGTTTGGGTACTTGTGTGGAGAAATATAGGGGTGTAATGGTCGAACCATCCAGTGGTCGAGTAAAAGTGAGATGTGCAAAACGCATGATCGTAAACGGTCTTTCGGGGTGTTTGAAGACAGATGTGGGGTTGGAAGTATATGGAGGGGTTGTATATGGGAAGGTATCATCGTCGGCGCCGAGAACTCTGGTCAATGCGGTGATCTAGGTTCTCGATTCGGCCACGGAATGACCTGACGATATCGCGGATGTGAGCGATCTTCGCCAAGTCATTGTCCAACTCGTCGATAGAAGCCAGGATTTCACGGGTGCGGGCGATTTCGGCATCGGCATTGCGAATGACGTTTCCCGCGCGGTCGTAGGTGTTTTGGATGGAGCGCTGCATTTGATCCTCGAGCTAGCAAGGATGTCTCATGTTAAAACTAAAACAACGAAATGTGATTTCCCGATGATTTGGACATGCGGCCAAGAACCGCTGGGAAAACATACATATTCGATCCGCTGACTGATCTGAGCCTGTAAGCTGTCTAGCTGGTGCGATAGTGCGCGGAGGCTCATAGGGTCCAGAAGCAAACGGCCCTGGCTGCTGGCAGCGCTGGTTGCGCGCGAGCTGGAATTGCTGGTTCTTCCGGTGCCTCTGCCCCTGGCCAGCCCATTGCCGGCATGGCCACCCTGCAAGGCAATCTGCTGTTGCTGTCGGAGGATCTGGATCTCGGAGGAGGTGAGACCAAGCGAAGTGTCGGGAATCGAGGCTGAGACGGACATTTGGTCCCGGCAGAGACATGCTCCGACCGCGACAGTCTACGAGGCGCCGATCAAACTCGATGTGAGACCAAACGGACCACAGGTCATGATGGAGGATGGAAGGTGTAGAGAGGGGAGGTTGCGATATACTCCAGTCAGGTTAGGGAATGCGACTATTGACAGTTAAAGAGGGGAGGGAAGCTTCTTTTTTTCCCCCATGAGGAGAAATCAAAAAGGAAAAAAGAAGCGGAGAAAGAAGGCGTGAGCCGCTGGGAGTTTGGCGGCAACTAAACAGCGCGCGGCTCCAAAGAAGCCAGTTACACTCCCCGATGAAGAGGCTAGTGAGATTTCTCTTTTATATGTTCAGGAGCACAGGCTCAGGCGGAAATATGATACCTCGGACCTCCCCATAAAGAGGGGCTTGAAGATGGAACGAAAACCCCCAAAAAAGCAATATTTAGTGCGTTATGTATTTTTTGTTTTGACGTTTTAAGGATTTCTGTTTTTTTCTGTTTGGTTTTATTCGTTAAGTACTTCTTCAATGGGTTTATTTTATATTGGATATTGCGAGGCTACCTAGGTCAATGCTGGGCTCTGCGCCTATCTTGAGGAGGGAGAATTAAGAGGCTCTGCAGTATGCGTACTAGGAATGTGAGAAAATCAAGAGCAATAGCGAATAGTATACATATATATCCAATAATCATATTAATCATATTAAAACTCTCTGAAATATATAGCTAGGTATAAACCAATATAAATCAATATAACTTGATGTACCCTGTACTAACTACGTATGTACGATGTATGTCGTTGTAGTTCCAGTTCCGAACCATGGTAGCTGTCTCTCCACTCTTCCACTCTTTTCTCTACGGAGAACTGCAGCAACCAGCTGAGACTTAACTTTGATTGGGCTCGTATATACACCGTCCTTCTCTCCGCTTTTACCCTCTGTCCGCGACTGAGAGTTTTCTGCCAGTCAAAAATATCCAGGACTTAACCTTAGAACTCTGCCGTGGTCGCTGCACCGCTCTGTACTTCAATTAGCTTCAACTTCGACCTCAGCCTCTTTATTCAGGTGTTACTATCACATTCAACCTTACCTGCTTATGTTGTGAGACTGAAACCGGTAATTTTACCTGACACCCACTTGTTCATACACTTGCTCGCATTCGGCCTGTGAACGTCACCCAATCCCAATCCCGGACACCTGCAGTCTCAACCTGACGGCCCGACGTGATCAATCCAGCCGAGGCGACCTAACTCACTGATTACCTGTTATTCTGTGAGACAGACAAATCAGCTATCCTAATTGCGCGCTTTGTTTTCTAGTGTGCGCCTTGCATTCTTGTTCCCAACCATAGCCTTCACGTGGGGCAAACCCCACAGAGCCTAGGAGTTTGCGCCGGCACTTAATTTGCGATCTCTGGAATTGATTCGACAAGTGCCCGAGGGATTTCTTACCGGCTTTCGCAGCTAGGTTACGCCGTACCGATAATTACAAACCACCCGCACACCAAGCCCAACCTCGACACCAACACAACGTCATGGCAAAAGACAAAGAGCGTTCGGTCAACCCTGCCGCAGCGCAGCGGAAACTTGATAAACAAAAAGAGTTGAAGAAAGGGAAATCAGAGGCATTAGCGCGCCGAAACGAGAAACTTGCGCGCCGCAACCCAGATCGAATTCAGCGCCAGATCAACAGCTTCAAAGAAGCCGAGGAATCAGGACAACAACTACGACCGCGAGATAAGGAGCTCCTCGAAGCGCTGGAGAAGGATTTGAGAGCCGTTTTGAAGGCGCGTGAAGCTCTTGGCGACAAGGCACCCCGGTTCGATCACGGCGGCAGAGGAGGCCACCAGGGTGATGGTGCTAGACGAGGTGGTGGCGACGGCGTGCTTGGGAAGCGAAGGCGAGGCTCAGATGAAACACGAATGCCTCGCGACAGTGACAGCAGCGACACGGATGAGGATGTTCGAAGGATACCCATGCCGCGGGATACACCGCCACCGATCCCGCGCCAGCACCAACGCAGACGTGATGTAAATGTGCCTGCGGAACAGAACGTTGAGCGCAGTGGTCCTCACCCGCTGCCATCTCGTCCAACGGCGGTTCCAGTGGCCAGGACAGTTTATGAGGCGAAGCCTCAGATTCGGGACCTGCGACAGGAGGCTACTAAGAAGTTCGTTCCGGCTGCGGTCAGGATGAAACAGCAGTCAATTAAGGGACAGGGGAAATTATTGGAACCGGAAGAGATGGACAAGCTTGAGAAAGCTGGGTATAATGCCGGCCCCGCCCCGGAAGCACAGGCTGGCGATTCGCCACAGGAGGATTGGATGTTGACGTTAGAAGAAGAGGAGCGGCGTCTTAACCAGGAGCGTCTTAACCAGGAACGTAAGTCAGTTCAGATAGAAGAGGTCGAAGATGAGGAGGCGTGGGCTTAATGTCTGACCCTTTGAATAAAAAGTCTCACAAAACGTGATGCACCTATCATGCTACAGATTTCAATTAGATGTGCAATATTGCGTATTCCACGTACAGTCCGAAAAAGTACCTAAGTGTACCGGTTATACATCTTAGGGCTAGCACTACAGATGACTCGACTAGCATCTAAAAGTCTAGAATGTACTAAATATGTTTGTATGAAAATGGGTGTGTGCATCCATCACTGAAACATTGCAGTACTAGACCTCCGAACGCTCCTTGAAACACCAAAGTGCAATGAGCATGGAGAACATGGCCGAGGAGAAAGATTATCCGAACGAGAAGTAGGGTGAAGGACTACTAACGAGAGTCCAACATAACCACAAAGCAACATATTTACAACGGACAAGGATACGACGAGTAATAAATTAAAGGTTTAGAGAGACAGTAAGGAAAATACAAAAATCCAACAGTGAATGCATGGCTGATGCAAATAAATGTACAGGAGGACTGAATCATCTCCTTCTTTGAAGGAAGGGGGCGTGACGGCATAAACGACAAAAGAAAAGTAGTAAAGAGTCCAGTCGTGGAGGTAAGTGTGTAGCCAACGAAGGCAAAGAGCCATGGACGAGCCATGGACATGTGTATCAAACTCCGTGTCTTGCATGTGGCAAGGATGCTCCGAAAACATTAGGGCCAACTCCGTGACATAATGGGAAAGTATGGGCAAGAAGCGAAGTGCGAAACCCGAAAACGGTGGGAAACAAGAGGAACTGAGGGTTTCCAAAGAAACCAAATCATCGAAATCCAGAACAGAACAGAAAAAAAGAGAAAAAAAAACCTTCAATCCAAAACAAACTCCATCCACACCAGACCAAGACGCCATAAAAAAAATCAAAACCGGAACTAAACTGAAAGGACAAAGTAAATGCAAACGAAATCTGATCTGGGCGAAAGTCTACCGCAGGTTGCGGATAACCTTCTTGCCACGGGCAAGGAAGGGGCTGGGCATCTCATCCAATTCAGGGTTCCAGATAGCAGGAGCATCACGTTCAGAGCATTTCACACTCATAGTGGGGCCGCCAGCGCGCGAATCACTGGCAGAACGCTTGACTTCATCCATCGGACGGCCTCCAGCTCTCGCCTGTGCGAGTTCGACTAGAGTCCGGCCACCCATGTTACGTTGCATAACAGCCTTGAACATTTCTTCGCCGCCACCCCCATTCTTGGCGGGGGGAGGTTGCTGCTTCGAGGCACTCTTGCGAGTTGGTGAGGTGCCCGCATCAGCAGCTAGGTTGGCGGATGATGGGATTTTAGTTAGACGGCGGTGGGGAGATCTGGCTCTGCTCTCATTTGCACTGCGCTCTTCGGATTGGGAAGCAGATGCACTCGTCGATTGAGGAAGCCGAGTACCACTAGAAGGGAACAGCGAGGGCTGGGTGGTAAGTTTCTGCATGAGAGCCGCGGTGTTCTGGCGAAGTAGAGGTCGCCGAGGTGCCTTCAATGGGTCGGGCTTCACCTTGGGCCGAGTTGGGGAGGGCAAGTCGGGTGTGTCGTCCTCATCATCGGAGTAGGCTAGGGTGGGCTCCCACTTTGCCTTGTTCCGCTCGGCCTCTGCAAAGATATTGCGAGCGCCTCCTTGGGCGGAAGTGCGGCGAGGGGACAGGGAAAGCGAAGCGATTGAAATAGGTGACGGTTCAGCCATTTGAACATCCACCGGTGAATCAACAACGGTCTTGGAACGACAAAATGGCGTCCGGGTCTCTTTCTTGGGCTGCTTTCGGGTATTTGATGGAGGAGAGCCTAGAGACAGCTGGCTGATGTCGGCGCTGGATGAAGGAGTAGTATCGCTGTCGTCTGTCATGTTGGCAGAAGACCGGGAAGACCGCCAACCTTGATTACTAGATCGAGAGGACCCAGAGCCATGGGTACTGGTGCGAAATACATCATCTCGGGAGGTGTTGCTATTGGAAGTGTTGTGCTTGTACTTCTTCACCTCAATAGCAACCCTTTCTTGCACTTCAGACTCAAATCGTTTGCGGAGTCGGTCAAGTTCGCTTTGCACCTGACGGTCAATTTCCAAGCGTGCTTTGACCTCCCACTCTCGTCTGACGGTGTTTTCAATTTCAGCCTTGATTTGTTGCTTTTCTGATTCTCTCTTGGCGAGATTCTGTTCCATCTCGCGGACTTTATGGACAGCAACCTCCTCACGTCGGCGCAAGGTCTTTCCGAGGTCAACGACCTCCTTCTCCTTACGCATCAAGCGAATGATAGGAAGATGAATTAGAGCGGAAGTATCAGGGCGGTGATCGGGATTGACCCGTAGACAGCTTCCGATAACGTTCTTGAGCTCTGGTGAATAGTAATCAGGCAAGGGAGCGAATTTTCCCTCGCGAATTTTTTGAACTAGTTGAATGTGGGTGCGAGCGTTGAAAGGGGGCTCTTTCTGGCAGAGCTCGTACATGATGCAGCCAACCGCCCAAATATCGGAGCGCAGGGTGTATTTTTCAGCTGCACAAATTTCCGGTGACATGTAGAAAGGTGTGCCAACATAAGTCGATGCGAAATCGTGCGATTGCATTTGCTTGGACAAACCGAAATCGCCCAGCTTTACGGTGTTGTCGCTACCGAGGAAGATGTTCTCCGGCTTCAGGTCGCGATGCAAAATAGTGACTTGCCCCTGTTTTCCCTTGAGACCAGATGGC